ATGGAGTGTTTTTCGGAAATCGAGGACACAGGACAGCCCTTGAAAATATTGGTGAGATTCGGAAAATGAAATTGACTAGAGTAAAGACAACGAAAACAACACAAATTTTCGAAACACTATTTTGCGAAAATGCTTAGCGACTAGGCAAATTCATAAAAACTAAGTTAATTTCTACTTTCTTACTCTTAGAGTCGTTACGGCACTGTCTTAAATTACATGAGTTCACTATACCCTCATAATTACCTACAGTCTTACAGACAAGGAAGAAAGCAGAAAATTGTCGCGTCCAGTATCGTTAAAAAGCTTCCGGAAGGAAAAGCGCGATGGCGATGTTACCAGTGGTGCTGCCTGTTTCAAAGAGGCCACCACAGAGGCCAAAGCTGCTTCACGTGCTCCATTGTCAGGCGTCGTTGGAGACCATAAGAAAAAGAAGGAAGCGAAAGCTGGTGCTGACACTATGGGTGATAGTCCTCAGAAGGCTTCGTGTCGAAGCAATAAAACAAGATCAGGACCAACAAAGGTCAAAAGGAAAGCTCCACCACCACCTCTAACTTCTTCTGATAGGCCTACCGTTTCTCATACCAGTCCATCCCAATCTGCTCCGTCTCGTCCTATTCCGGTCCGCCCTGCTCCTCCTCCACAGCGTCAACCACGTCCTCGTAAGGCAGCTCCACCTCGCCCCCCTCCACCAACTATGAAGCAGCCTGGAAAAAAGAGTGGCATTGCATCCGATGCAGCTGGCAAAGGACCGAGTATTATTAAGAAAAAGACAAACGAGATTTGCAAATATCCAAAGGATCTGAACCCGTTTGCAAATTCCAGCAGTGCACCGATAATGACTGCCCGTCGCAGAACAGCGATAAGGCCCTCAGAACTACTTACCAAAGGCGCAGAGGAAGAAAAAGTAATTCCAAAAGGGAAGAATATCCAATGGATAAAAATCAATTTAATGATACTGATGACACGAGGGAAAAGGTCTCCAGTACTCGTCGCCAAAGGCTTAGAAGAAAACGGAAAGAATCGAAAAGTGAAGAATACCCAATGGAAGACGATCCACCCGGTGATGCTGAAGAGATGTGCGACAAGCCCTCTAACACTCGTCGTCGAAGGCGTAGAAGAAAAAGAAAAGAGTCTAAAAGTGAAGAATACCCAATCAAACACAATCCATGGAGTGATTCCGATGAGGGAAAGAGCTCTTCGTGTTCGGAGTCGACCAAAACTTCTGACAGTTGGTGATGAACACTGCCACAGTAGAAGAGGTGCAAGTAAAGAGTACACAGCAAGGTTTGGTTTCCAACAGTGAAAAGGAAGAACAGGGTGGGCGAGCAGATTCTACTGACTCAAAGGCCCAGTCATTCCCATCTGATAAAGAGGTCTCTCCTGACGTTGTCCCTTCCACAAACAAGGATAATAGCTGTGCAAGTGCCGGATCAACAAACCTTGATACTTCGACCGCCAAAGATTTTACAGATGTTGACGAGAGACCAATTCTCAAGCAGGCAGAACCCTCTGAGCAAGTTAGTGATATGGTAGAGTGCCAGGGTGCAGACGGATATGGTAAGTTTTATGTATCTGCTCCCTAAAAATACTGAAACGAAGAGGGGATCTCAAATCCTCTTCCTTTTTTCTGTAAGAATGGTACACAATAAACCTTATAGAGGGAAAAGTACTGTAACGTAGTGCATCTTCATATACCGAACCGTGAAAAAGAGACATTAGAAACATTTAAATCTGCGTGCAAGTTAACTTTAGATTGATTCTTGATTGTTGCCAGTACTTTGATTCGTAGAGTGGTAATGCATCTGAAGATGCATCTGCTAATTGCATCATATGCAATGCCACTCTATGAATAAATTGAATGGATTCAACTGGTTCAGTATAAAATTCGCCTTCTCTTTTGAATATTTGAGCGCGTATATCTTCTAAAATTCTTTTTAGCCTTCAATTCAAGGAATCATTGCTCAGAGTTGACCATTCACCTAGATGCAGAACTTCAGGTTGTCGAAAGCGAGTTGCTTTCTCTGCAAAAGGTGATGGTTAAATTGCAATCAGAGATGAGAGAGGCACTGGACACTAAAGGTTAGTTTTCTCGCCTCT